TCATTGTATATTAAATGTAAATAACCGTCGGCCATGTTTTTTACTATTTCTACCGAAATGTATTATTATGATAGTGGCAAGAGCACCAGAGGACACTTTACTATATTTTACATACAGTATTTTGTTGCGGAGGCAGTAATCTCAAAAGGAAGGTCGTCTCCGTATCTTTGTAGGCTAAATTTTCATGGACTGCTGATAGTGAAAAACGACGGAAGAAGAACAAAAGCAAAGATTTTACTTTGTGAAAAAATTATATTTATATTTCATTGTATATTAAATATATATTATAAATTTTATGATTATTAACGAAAAATAAGAAAACCTAAGTATTAATTTTAAAAAAGTCTTTTTTGAATTTTATAAAATTAAATTTTAGCATCATTTTGAATTGGCAAGGATTGATCTGCTCAAGTGGAGGTCTCCCAAGAAGACTTTCTTTGAGTACTTTGATTCTATTTAAGTGTTAGACCAATCAGGATAAGATTGCTCATTGGTAAAGCGCGAACCCACTACCAATTAGTAGTGTTCAGCGGTTTTATCCATTCGGCCTCTGGTAGGTCTAACTTCAATTTTCATTTTTATATAATAGAACATAGAGAAGGAAGACAAAGATAGATATAGTAACAAGAGCTGCATGTATGTAATGTACATGCAGCTCGTACAGAACAAAATATATACCGTATATATTCTTGATCTGCACCTGGACAACAGGCTGGCCACCTGGAGTTTTCAGGATTTTTTCACATGTCTAACACTTAAATAGGAACCAATTTCACCATAGAAAATCCTCCCAGATGCAACTCCTTGAGAGATCGTCGAAGTGTTGCGTTGCCTTTATTCCATCAATCTAATCCTGATTTTTCAAGTATAGTCTATCAATTTTTTCGTTAGTATCTGTTTAATATATATATAATTTATATAAACAGATACTAACGAAAATGCCTATTGAAAGGAAAAAATTGATAGACTATACTTGAAAAATGACTGAAATAGGAAAAGCGAGAAAAGAGGAACAACACAGGATTAGATTGATGGAATAAAGGCAACGCAACACTTCGGCGATCTCTCAAGGAGTTGCATCTGGGAGGATTTTCTATGGTGAAATTGGTTCCTATTTAAGTGTTAGACATGTGAAAAAATCCTGAAAACTCCAGATGGCCAGCCTGTTGTCCAGGTGCAGATCAAGAATCAGTATTTAGTGATTTTAGAAATAGGCACAAGATACAGAGATGTGATAATCAGTTACAGAGGAGTTCAAGGCTCAACCACCGTAGAATAGTACTAATAATAAATTTTAATTTTTTCTCACGGATAGCCGGATGGTCAAGGCGGTTAATGCATTAGTTTCCGAACTTTCTGTACGTTTCTCACTCTTTTTCAGAAAAAAAAAATGTTGCGTTTCCCTCAATTTTCAAAACAAACTAATTTTATAAATACGCTCCTTATCTATACTAATATTATAAAGAGGTAATGTTTGTATGTATGTATGTATGTAAGTTTCTTTGCAGCAGGTAATCTCCGAAACTACTCATCCGATTTCAAAAATTCTTTCACCAATATTTAGAATGGAACTTCAGGGTGGACATAGGCTGTATATTCCGTTAAACATTCATATAAATTAAAAGATATCATCTATGGTTAAGGTTTTTTTGTCCAACAGATGGCGCTACGAGTACGACGCCCTAAGTTTGCTTTTCTGTGAGGCATTATGCTTTTCTGTGAAAATGAACTAAAGCGGATCATCTTCTATCTATCTATATAAATAAAAATGTAATGTTCGTTTGTTCCTACTGATTCATTTAGTTTTTAGTTATTGTAGTCTATTTTCACTAATTTAAATCTGTTTTATGAGTTCTTTCATTTAATTTTTCTCTAAACTGGATTATTTTTATTACACTTCATTTTTCCTCATTTTTTTCGTATTTTGATCATCCAATTGATTTATGGATCAATTTAACTCTAAAATAGCAACAGTCAGTTTTTTAATTTAACTGTGTTGATATGATATTATTAGCATATATTATACATTATCAGCAGCTTTTGCTCCATCCACCGATATTTCGATTAGTATATGCTTGAAATGTCTGTTGTTATCTATGTAAACTTTATGTCTTTCTATCGTATACTATTATATGTTTAATTATACAAAGATTAAAATTAAATTTAACAAAATTCTAGTAAAACCTGCTTCATTTAGAAACCATTCTTTTAGAACAAAAATAAAATACGACAATTTTCAATTTACTTTAAAAAAAATGTTTTACATATAGAAAATTAATTATGATTCATAAATAACCGTGATTAAAAATTTATAATTATCGTAAAAAAATTTTTTTCGATGCAAAATTTTTGTTTTCGGCTATATTATTTAAAACGATGTCCGTTTTTCAGAACTAAGAGTGTAAAATTACTTAAAATAAAAATATATCAGATCCTAATTATAAAAACTGTTTTTCCAATTACACCAACAACAATAAACACCTGTTTATTACTTAATAATAACATTCATCCATTTTTGTCTAACATTCGACAGAAATTCTCTTCGCATCAAGCAAAATGTTCCTCTGGAAAGCAAACAGTCAGAAAAAAGAAGAAAAACACACGACACAGAATCCAGAAAGCGATAATGGAAACGATGAATGCAAAAAAGAGAAAATCGAATGTAAACAAGAATGTGAGAATGATAAAAAAGAAATTAAAGAACAACATGAAGCGCATTTTATGTCGTGTGGAAACGAAGAATGTCCCAAGCCAACAAATCTAAAATGTGATGAATTTTGTGGTTCAACTTCCACAGAGGAATATTTCTGCGAAGAAAATATCTGCAAAGATGATAAAAACGAATGTGAAGAGGCACAAAAACACGGATGTCCGCAATCTGAAAAATTGGACAGTAGCCCAGCTTTTGAAAGGGACAGATGTGAACACAAGAAGGATGAATGTGAAGATCCCGAAAAAATTAATTGCCCAAAATAAAAAGGGATACACTAAAGTATTCACCAAAAAATTCATTTGGATTTTGAATTTATAGAGCAAAATATTTAAAAAGTAGAAGCAATAATTTCGGAGTAAATTTAATTTAACAAAATTGAATAATATTCGTAGAAATATGAAAAGCCTTAAATTTAAAAAATTGTTAATATATGAGTCTATCAAAATTTAGTAAAAATGTTTTTACATAGTAAGTAAGAATTTAATAAAATATAATAATTGCTCATATCTCTTACAATTTATTACGATGAAATTTATATAATGTAAGGAATATGTTATTATATTACAAAAATTATACACAATTCAGTATATTTTTGTCTAAACTAGATCATCGTTGGATTAATTGGAATGCCAAAAATACCTATGGATGAGTCTTAGATTATCACAAATCTCTTTTACACATCTGTTTTGCAGGTAATTGGAGAAAAGCAAAAATAAGGAAATGATACAATACGCTGAAATTTCCAATTTATTACCAGCTCGATATACGTTATACGTTAGTTAATATGACATCCTATAAACTAGAATTGTTCGATAATAATTCGGTGTACTAGAATTGCGCAAATCGGAATTTGTTTGCACACTAAGTGCTCTAAAAATGCTAACAATAACGTGTTTATTAATGGCTTTTTCTCTTTTCAGTTTTTCAATATACAGTCGACCCCCTATAACACGTGTTCCTATAGTTCGGATTTTTATATCACGGCGAAAAAATTGCGACAGTATTCGTACAAACATGCTAAAAAAACTCCTATAATTCGGTAAAACGTCATCGCCGACTCGTGTCGCGACAGGATTGCACAAACCGTTGAGTTTAAACGAGCAGCGGATCTACCAAAAACAATTTATTATTTAACGTCCATAAAAATTATATTTATATTAACGATGTCTCCAAAGTTCAACGAATTTTTCGCAAAAAAAAAATAATTTATCAGGAAGCACGCGAGCGCCATTCGACGGCAATCTCCGCGACGAAAACAAGCTTAAGCAACGACGTAGTCGAACGGTGCACACTCTGTAAGTCAGGGGTCGCCAAACTTTTTTAACCGTCGACCCCCAACCACTTTCCAAAGCCTTACATTGACCCCACCGTAAAGTTTTATTACAAGTATATGAGTATGAGCCAAAAAAAAAAAAAAAAAACGTTGTAGTCTCTGTATAAGAAAAAAGAAAAAAAAAGGTTGTGACCCCTTAGCCGCATCGACCCCTCAATCGACCCCCAGGCCGCATCGACCCCCTAGCCGCATCGACCCCCCAATGATGTTGCATCGACCCCTGGAAGTCGATATCGACCACTTTGGCGACCCCCTGCTGTAAGTAATCCCACAATTTTTTGTTTATAGCATAGTTTATATGGATTATTCCCAAAAAAATTATACGTATTTTGGAAATGTTGAGTCGAATTAGTCTAGAATCGATTAATTTTATGGAAGAAACCTTTCAAACAGCCGTAGTCCGTAAACTGCATACGTGCCAGGCTATGATTGGCTGGACTCGTAAGAAATGGATTCATAAAAACAGGAACGTATCTACCGTGTTATAGGGGGGTCGACTGTACTCTTCACTATTATTTTGGACTGATTAAAGAGCATATGGAAACAACAGCAAGTATACAGCATTAGTCCAGTGGTTTCCAAACTTTTTGTAGATATATGCGATTTGAATGCATGATCATTACGTATCAGCGTACATAATGATCATACATTCAGTCGCATATAACTTGAGTTTTTCGAAATTTCAAATTCGACTGGTAATCCGAGATTTTCGATAATCCGACACTATTCAGATCCCGTGGGTAGAGCACGAACAAACTTCTACTGTAGTTATATGCATTGTTCTTTTCGTGTTTTTTGAAAATTTGCATGGGTCGTTCTTATTAATCCTGTAGGATACAGGATTAATAAGAACGACCCTTTTCTCATTCATCATGGATAATCGAGAGTCTATAGTAAAACACGATATTTACAGTTGTAAGAATTTTTCAGAATTACACGAACGATTTCCTTTAACTTTATCTTTAGTCGTAATTAATTAAGAAAGCTTCCATCACATCTTAAATTAACATTAGTGAGGCGTTCACAAAGTAATTCCAAAATAAAACATAAAATAGCAAATATATATCCAATCAGTAACAATATAAAAGCACTGACAAGATCTTCAATTACAATTTGATGTTCCAGTTCTTCTTGTGGATGATCTTTTCTTTTGATCGATATCATTTCTGTTTCAATAGCCAAGAATCTATTTGTAATTCCAGCTTCAAATGTTCTCTGAATCCTAAATTAAAAATTTGAAGATAGTGTTAGTAAAATATGTGTTGTTAAAGCTTTATTGAGCTTATGTTATAATTTTATTTTTTTTTTTTTTCAGTGAGTCTGCACATAAGAAATCAATATTTTAATTTAAAACCCCTTCAGTTCACATTTTTTATATTATTATGAAAAAATATTTTTGATAAAATTTATGTAATATGAAGTGAATTAATGTTATTTATAATAAATTTTATAAACAAAAATGTCAATAATTTACATGGTATTTATAGATACTATTGTTTTTTTTATTAAAAATTTTAAGATACATATGATTTTTGATAGCAAATTTTGGTTTTTGATTAGCAGTTTTTCATCCTGCATTTTGCCATATTTTTCAATTTGTTGCGTAAGCCGATAATTAGTTTTGTCGTCTGTTACTTCATGAGATGTTATAAAGTCTAACATTTTCTTATCTTGGAGTATTTTTTAAGTGACGAAGAACTTGGAATTTCAATGATTTTCAATATATTTTCATATTCTTATATTACTTTTATAACCTTCAATATCATAATTATTATGTATATTATATTAAATAGCATCATTAAATTGAAATTCTAAGTGGTTGCAATGTTTTCAAAGAGATGTACTGCCTTTTCTGCAAATCATTTCTCTGTCAGATTGACAACATTTGTTAAGCTTCAAATACTGTCCAGCTTTGAGAGAACTAGGGATTGTAAACTTACCGACTTTTTCATTTACCGGGAATTCGGTAAATAAAAATTAAAATACCGGTTTACCGGTAAATTACCGGTAAATTTTTTTCCTGAAAAATAAAATTAAGGTGATAAAAAATATAAGTAATTTTGATTTCCATTTCACATTTTCTATTTCAAAGGTATAGAATATAAAAAATATAAAAATTAAAGTGTTATTCTAAACAAACTATAATAATAACTTTTAGAAACATAAATAAAATAATACAGAAAAATAAAAATAAAACAGAAATAATATATAGTACCTAATACCATTTTACTGATTACCATTTTTTAAAAAATAACTTCTCAAGAAACTTAAATTATTTAAAGTCTTATCTCCTAATTTTGATCTAATTTTTGTACAAAATAATCCGGGTTAGGTTAAGTTTCTAGACTTTTTCGGACATCATCTTTAAGTAATAAAAATCTTTCCAGCATGTTTAGTAAGCTATTCCACCGGGTTCTACAATCTAAAATTAAAGAAAGTTCTTTTCGTGAGAGTAATGGGGATTCCCCACGAAAATAAGGTTAGAATAATACATATTTTGCACAATCTTAAGGCATAATGTTAGAATCTTGTAATAAATATTTGTATTTAATTATTTTAAACAGTTGTTAGAAGTAAAAAATTTATTTAAGGTACAAATTTTAATGTTATTTTGCAATAATATTGCATTAATGTCCTGTCATAATGTGGTGTATTCAAAATTGCTATTAATTTTAAAAAATACATGAAATATTTACGTATTATTATTTTTAAATATTAAAAAAAGAGATATTTACTTACTCTTTAAGAAAAACGTTGATTGTAAAGATTTTAAACCTTTAAAAATCTCAAAAAACGGCAGAGCACAAATAGATAACTAGAGCTTTCTGTACAATTTACAGTGCCTCTCAAACCCAAGAAAGTTTAAATTAAAATTAAACAGAAAATATCTCACATAAAATTAATAATTAGGTATATTGTTGCTTACACTTATCTGTATTTTTTTTCAATGTCCCTTTAGCCCTTTTAAATATCTATAAAAACAATATTCTTTACATAAAAATGTCTAGTATGAATTTTTCATTTACCGAATTACCGGTAAATTTTTGAAATTTATCGGTAAGTTTACCGAATGTTTTTTTGTCAATTTATCGGTTAACCGGTAAATCGGTAAACCGGTATACAATCCCTAGAGAGAACTGCTGACAGTACAAACAAAATAAAGCTATTAACCTGTAAATGATGCCGCCGAAGATAGATTTCAGAAAGATGCAAAGGTTCAGGCATAGCAGAGTAGCAAATGTACAGTACAAGTAGACCCCCTAAAACACTGTTGATAATTCCGTTTTATACAAATTCCATGTTGTACGAGTCACTTAGATTTTACAAATACGTTTGCCGGGCTGTGAACGGCTCACGTATTTGTAAAATCTAAGTGACTCGTACAACATGGAATTCAAGGAATTATCAACAGTGTTATAGGGGGTCTACTGTACAATGTTAAGTGTACGGGAGGCAAGCGCGCTCGAATGCCTTGTAGCGATATAGTATTTTTAACTGTTAAAAAAAACCTTCTGAATTGCACTTGCTTTACTGATGATTTTTGTGTAGTACGCCAAATTTTAACTGAGCTCATTGATAGTCTTTTAATTGAATAAATCCGTCAATTTCAATTGGTTGCTGCTAGTTATTATAAATTTTCTAATTTTAAATTTTATAATCATTTTTATATATATAAACTTTTGCGCAAACTCACATTATTGTTAAATATTATATTTAAAATCATCTAAATATTTAAATAAAAATGAAAATATTTAAAAGCAATAAAATTTACAATTTATGAAATTCCCTCTTCAACGGAAAATTTCTACTTAAAGAAATACTGGAAGGAAATGAGAAAATTCCTTCAGAAATATGATAATTTTCTGGTCCTGCTTTCAGAGTAATAAAGTGTAATATGTGATTAACGAGAACAAAAGCATATTTTTCAGTCATGACTTTTTCAAGGGCTTGTTTCACATTTACGCATCGATTTTCATCCTTATTCATTACATTTCCTAAGATTCTTAATAAGCCTTCGTGTGAATGCTGTAAAAGTAAATTATAAATATAAAAATTCATTCTTTATAAAAACAATTATATTTTAACAAACTTACAATGTATAAAGATTCAATTGCTGTGCCTTTCATCGAACCGCATTCATATTCTCCATTTTCAACTTTAATTGCTAATTTTTCAAATTTATCGAGTACTTCAGTAAAAATAGGAAATGACAAATGAGAAATTAGCATTCCACTGTAAGCAGATAATAAGGCAACGAAGCAAAGTCTGGAAAGCCCTATGATAAATCTACACTTTGTTAAAGTATTTTCCATGTCTGAAGCTAAAGGAATAGTAATGGAAGAAAAACATTACTTATGATTTTAAAAAATTGGTTTCAGTGATATAAGCAAACACAACATACCTTGTCCTATAAATATAGAAAGCATCCACCAATAAATATTTGAGATACGTAAATAAGGATTATTAAAAGTCTTATTAGGATCACTATGGACTATTCCGTATAATATTAATCCAACTAAAATTAAACTGATGAATATCCATAACCATAACTGAAAATAAATATATTTTTAATTAATCAAAATAAAATTTTTATTTAAAAATACATCTGTTAATATATACGTATATTTACTCAAAATTTGAATATTTATCATTAGAAAATTTTTCATAAAATATTTCAGTGCAATTTTTAAAATTATAGCTACATATGGTCTTTTGTTAAGACGAAAATATTATATAAAATGTTGCGTCTAGAAGAAAATCGAATAAAGTACTAACTAACTAGCATAAGTAGGCCTATATGGTTATTAATTTTTTAAGATGCTGAAAATTAAGATGCTTTAAAGAAAAAATTCTATCATTAAAGCATTATCTACTTTACACTCGACCTAAATATAACTAATATACCGGTACTGTACAATGTTTAGAGATAGGACAGGAAAGCTCATTGAATAGTTTCCAGAAAGAAAAGGTAGTAGTAAGAGCGTTGGATTCATCCCTTACCTATATTATAATGACTGGAAGCTGAAGTGATAAGACATCAGTCTACCACTCAAGATCAGTATTCCTTCACTAATATTGCTGAAAAATGCTCAAATGTTCAACCAAATTATTATAGGTACAATAACTTTGAGGCACAAAGTAAAACTTGACGTCTTTTTCCGTGACGATAATTGTTTTCCTGATTTTTATCTCGGTAACACTTCATACAAAACTTCCCGTACTTGAAGTCTGTAATATACACTGTATTCGCATGTTGTGTCTTCTTGTCAAATCAGTTTCCAGTATTCTTATGCCACAACTTTTAAAAGTTTCTTTTATTTAGATATTTTTCGCTGAGCTTTTCTTCTCTTCCTGATTCCACCAGTTTTGTATGGTATGAAATAATATTTTAAAACTTTTTATCCAGTATGAAAATATACGGTTTTTCAAAAATTAACTCCCGATTCTGAAACGTAAAATACTACAAGAATACTGTATTACTAGAATTCTAGAATTATTGTATTACTTATGATACCAGTAATTAACATTAAAATTCAAATAAGAAAACGCCAAGTCCGCACGATAGATACAACAGATACGCCTGAATGGTTCCTATATGAATTTTTCTTTTTTATAAACCGGTTGATTTATCTCTGGAAGAAACATATTCTCTACTATTTGTGTGATATGAAAAATATATTTAATCAATTATTGTAAAAAGAAATTAATTAATTAATAATTTTTCTGAACTAATAAAATCGATGTTCAGTAATAGGAATTACAATCATTTGTTCTGTATCCTGAAATGGGAAATAATTTAATTGTGACAGATACTTCACAGAGTTATGCGGAATGAAGTTCATAAGATAGGCTAATATTGTAAAAATGCCTTGCTACTTAATTTATTCATTGCTTTTAGTTGAAAAAGTTGAAATTGCAGTAATAGGAATGCTTGTCGAATGTGTTTATAAAGTGTCGTATTGTCTCTAGTCACATGTCCAGGAGGCCCGGGTCTCAGATGCCTCGAAATTATCAATAGTAATGTTATAAAGCAATTTTACCGTTTCAATTGTCTAACATACTTTTATGTCATAAAATAAGAATAATCCGAAATTATGTAGAGGATCCCTCAGANATTGAAATCTAATCTTATTTTTAATTACTTAATTGGCTTGCAACCAGTGATCTTAAATTTTTAAAGATTTTTTTAAAGCATTTAATATATTTATATTCAAATAATAAATTTTATAGTTAATTATTTGAATTGTAAATAATCTAGAAACCCCATTATTACAATGTTTACGGGAATATATAAATATTTTAAAAATACCTGAAATGTAACTTTTCTGCTAATATATTTAGAAGAGAAATATCAGCTCCTCCAATTACTTTAGGTACTTCAATTTTCATATTCCATATGACAAAAGGATAACTCTGATTTTTTATAGCAGAAATATGCATTATATTCATGAAAATTTTAATAATTTAAGTTTAATTTGTCTGGTAAGGTCTTTGTTTTACTTTAAAATAAAATGAATAAGTAAAATATTTTGCTGATATTTTAAATTTTAATAACTTTAAAAAAATATTTTTAATTATAGAAGTTTCTTTTTACATTATTTATTTTACTTAATATCTTTTAATCTACTTAATTACTACTTAATTTGAATATATCTTGTATAAATTTTCGTTCATTGAAGATATAAAACCTTTATCAGAAGTAAATATTTCAGATAATGTTTTGAAGGAAAATCAAGATTATGTATATAGTTTTTGTAATTTAATTAACATAGAACCTTAAACTTCAAATTTTTAAAGATTTAAAGAATAAAAAAGGAAAGAGGAAAAAACTCTTTCTCCTTCTTTTTTCTTCCTTTTTTAGGAGGAGGAAAAGGATGAGAATAACTTCAATTCAAAAACCTGCGTCATCGAAGCAATTTTCAGTAAATAAGATTTCCATATTAATAGATTTTATTATAATAAACAAATTACTATACTGTATAATTATATATTTATATGCCATTTTCACAATTAAGCAATACAGATTATTTTTTAAAGTGAATTAAATGTAATCAAACAATATAATTTTAAGTATAAAACAATTTATAAATACATTCTATAAATGAAATTAATATTTTAAAAAAGGTATAGATTTACTTGTNTTGTAAAAAGAAATTAATTAATTAATAATTTTTCTGAACTAATAAAATCGATGTTCAGTAATAGGAATTACAATCATTTGTTCTGTATCCTGAAATGGGAAATAATTTAATTGTGACAGATACTTCACAGAGTTATGCGGAATGAAGTTCATAAGATAGGCTAATATTGTAAAAATGCCTTGCTACTTAATTTATTCATTGCTTTTAGTTGAAAAAGTTGAAATTGCAGTAATAGGAATGCTTGTCGAATGTGTTTATAAAGTGTCGTATTGCCTCTAGTCACATGTCCAGGAGGCCCGGGTCTCAGATGCCTCGAAATTATCAATAGTAATGTTATAAAGCAATTTTACCGTTTCAATTGTCTAACATACTTTTATGTCATAAAATAAGAATAATCCGAAATTATGTAGAGGATCCCTCAGACTTCTGTGCCTAAGGGGCCCCAGAGAGTCTTGCTTTGCCACTGTGCTTCTCATATCACAAGAGTTTTCAAAATTAAGATATTAAATGAAAGAAAATTATAAGAAATGTTGTATCTAGGAGAGAAAAAACAAATTATCTCTATAAAAATGTCATATTAATTACTAGAATTATGACTTATAAATATTTCTGCATTAAATATTCTCAAAAGGTGACGATGGAGTACTAGCATATAACATGTCTGTAAAAAATTAAAAAATATATATATAAAACTTTTCCAAATAAACGGAACATTTATTTAAATTAAGTATTATATCAAAATTGACGTTTATGAATAAGCGTGTGTATATATGATTGTGAGTACCTTTTAAAGCAATGATAGTAAAATATTGAATATGTAAAATATTTTTCATTTTGGTGGAAATATTTGCAACATTTTACTTTCACAGAAAAGTAAACATTTTATTAACTTCTGCAAAAGTTTTAATTATACTACTCATGATTTTGAACAAATATTAAGCAAACAAAAGAGATTAAAAAAAATTTTTTTAAATAATCCGAATAGGTTCTTTCATGAGTTTTATGTTGTCAAGTCAGGTTCATTGCAGTATCACGCAAAAAATAATAAAATGTTCAAATATAATAATATTCTGAACATCAAAGCTTCTGTAAATGAATAATTTAGCAATTTTGCGACAATTCAGTTATGTTCTATTGAAAGATATTGCTGTAACTTTATTCAAACTGCCAAATAAATCATTCAGTACCTATACTGACAGTACGTTTGAAAGCTTTGAATAGGCCTATTCTTAGTATCAGTTCATTGTTTATGTTCTTGAATAAATATAATCAGCAAACTAATATTAGTAAAGTCCATTATTTTATAGAGGTATAATTATATTTAATATTTATTGAACACGAAGAAAAATAAATGTATTCCTTACATATTTATCGAATGGTCTAATTATTGCAGTTTCTTTAGACAATTTGGTTGGAGCACGAACAATAAAATTTGAAGAATAATAAATGTATGAAGCACTAAAATCGACGACTTTCAATCTGGAATTTGTAATGAATGAGTTTGGTAGTCCTATATCAGTTCTCTAAAGGAAAAAAAATTTAAAAATTAGATTAAATCTTGAATACAAAAATATAGATATACATATAAAAATACAAATTACATATACAAATAAATAAAAATTATACAAATATATAGTGTGTGTATAATTTTAGGTATAATTCTAAATAAGGCATTTGACCTAGATATGGAGAGAGAAGACTACAAAATTTAATGTTAATAAAAAAAATTAAATGATTTAAAAATGGCGTAAACTACAATATCTTTCGTTAAGTGGAAAAAAGTTTAGTTTTATATGTTTTATTGATTTACTCATTACATTTTTATTGTTTTCTGAAAGAGATATGACCCTAATTTATGCCCAAACTTTCTCACTGGTTACCTGTTATAGAAAAAAACACACACACATACACATATATATACTGTTATAACCCGATGTAAAACATTCAGTTACCATTAATCTAGCTAGTGCAGTACGTAACCTCTTTGCTATTACATCCCTTTTGTGTTCACTGACACATTTAAACAGGGGCTAGCGCAGTGGTTTTCAATTGAGGTGCTGCAACGTGTCACAACGTTTCGGAGGTGCTGAGCAACATTATAATATTTCTTATTCATATTACTAAAAATACGAAAGGCGTACTTAACGCTATATTGATAAAGAAGTAGAGTGCAGCAAGTTGGGGTGCCATTATTATATATAGGTTTAAAACACACAAGTTTAGTGTGTTTTTCAATTTGAACATTTGTGTTCGAATATTTGTATCGAAAATTGTGTTCGAATATTTCTAAAAAAAAACTAAAAGTTTATAATTAAAATTTATTTGAAATCCATATTAAAAAATGTTTCAAGTGATTTAATAAAATTAACGTCGTCACTTTGTAACAGCAACTAATCTGAAGGTAATCAATTTATTAAAAGCCGAAATCACTTTATAAGTTTATCATAATCTTTGAGGAATGAATTATTTTATATTTAATGCTTACTATCATGTTAAAAAATCGTTTTTATTTTTAAGAATTAAAAAAATACAATTTATGCTTTTAAATTAATAAAGATTCAATTATAATTAATTTAATTAATTAATTTTTAAAATAACAATGCTTAGAAATATTAATTATAAGTAATTTTATTTAATATTTTAAAATGATTTCACTAATAAGAATTGTATCTGAAATTGTATAAAATTTCATTAAGCATATTTTTAAATTATAAATGTAATGATTTTTTTTATAATAAAATGTTCAATTTAGGGTAAAAGTCTTTATTTCGATTATCATCATGTAAAAGTTATATAAAAGATAAAGTAAAAACGACATTAAACAACACCCACAAAATTACCTAAATTAAATTTTAAAAATACAATAGAAAACATTATGATGGCCTTGATTTAGAGAACATTCTGACATCTAAGCCACC